CAACAAAAAAAAAAAACATAGGTCATTATGACAAAGAAGGCTTGATGCTGGACCTAGAGTCTACTGGTCACATGGCATTTGCAATAAGGAAGCAGAAAGTCATGAATGCTTAACTTACTTTCTTCCATTTATTGAATCTGGGTCTTCAGTCCATGGAATGATATTTCCACCTCAATTAATCTAATATGGGCAAACTTTTACAAGCATGTCCAGTGAATTGTTGCTTAGATGATTCTCCATCCCATCAAGTTTATATCATCACAACTATTTTCTGTGCTGTGAGTATTGAAAGAAATACTCCAACCAGCAGTGTTCATCAAGAACTGGCAAGCATTGTTGTCTGTCTACTCAATAAAACAGTAACAAATATCTACAGCAACTGAATGAAATTCCAGTTTAATAAAAGAAAACAATGACATTTGTGCCAATTTGTAAATAGCATAAGCACCTACTTTGCAAAATACATAATTTTTTTACCCATCTATTCTTGTATATCATGTGGTTTTGTAAGCATGTGGCCCGCTGATAGAAATTGGTGGGTCTTATTTCTAATCCATTGATATAAATTTATGTTTTAATATTATCACCTGGTGCTTTATTGGCTCATCAAAGTCAAGATGTATTGACTTGAAGAATCTGACGGTAACTTGTCAGATAGTTCCTTGCATTGACCCCGTCCAGATTACAATGACCTTAAAGTAAATCTTCTACCATCCTTTCTTATTTCTTACTTCTTTTTATATTGAGCTATTGATTACTATCCACCAAGTAAAGAAATTCTACATGTTCAGTAAATGTTTACTCATATATGCAAGATAAAATCTAACAAGAACACTAGACTGTAGAATACTATGAAAATAAGTTGTATTACAATGCATTGAGAACAGTCATTAGAAAACAAAAAAAAATTACTTTAATTTCAGCAAACAACAAATACACAGAACAACCCCCAAAAGTGTATTTTATATAATAAGTATAGCATTATTGAGGAAACCTGAAATTCAACATTCTTATGTTGACATTAAAGATACTCATTTTAATGGAGATTTGGAGCTGAAAGTTTTTCTGTGTCCTGGCTTGCTGGTGGTCGGGACAAATCTTTCCCACTCGAGTCCCCCAAGTAAATACACAGTGGCTTATATTAATTAAAACTGCTAAGCCATTAGCTCAGTCCTACCACTGAGTAGCTCTTACATTTAAACTCAGCCCATTTCTATTAATCTATGTATTGTCACATGTTCCGTGGCTTTACCTGTGTGCCATTACATGTTACTCCCAGGACGGTGGGCTGGTGTCTCCTGATTCAGCCTTCCTCTTCCCGTCACTCTCTTTGAATTTCTTGACTGCCTCTAAGCTGCCTTGCCATAGACCAAAGAGCTTTATTTATCAACCAACTAGAGCAACACATTCACAGCGTACAGAAAGACATTCTCCCATCACTTCCCCTTCTCTGTCTCAACAAAAGGAAGGTTTCATCTTTAACCTATTAAAATTACATATAACAAAACCGAAAAGGGGAAGTGCTGTGAGATATCATCCTGTATGCTGTGAATATGTCTTGCTCTTATTGGTTGATAAGTAACACTCTGATTGGCCAGTAGCCAGGCAGGAATTATAGGTGGGATAAGCAGACAAGGAGAATTCTGGGAAGAGGAAGGCTTCGTCAGGAGTCATCAGCCAGACACAGAGGAAGCAAGATGACAAGGCAGAACTGAGAAAAAAAACCAACCCATGTGGCTAAACATAGATAAGAATTATGGGCTAATTTAAGTGTAAGAGCTAGTCAGTTTGACCACTGAGCCTTTCTAATGGCTAAGCAGTTATAATTAATATAAGCTTCTGAGTGATTATTTTTGTAAGCAGGCCACGGTACTGTGGGGGCCTGGCAGGACTGGAGAAACTTCCAGCTACAAAGATTGATCTAAGATGATCCTCAGCACTCTAGCATAGTCAAAGATTGAGGTGATTCTGATGTGAAAGTTTAAATTCAAATGCAATCTTATCAAACAAAAATGGAGGCCCAGCAAGTGAAAGATTTATTAAGAAATCTACAATGAGGACATCATGATGTTGACACAAATATGTCAATATATCGAAATATAAAATCCATATAAAACATCTGACTTATGGCAGAGATGACACTGGAAAGTAGTAGTACTTTGTTTTTTTTTAAACTAAAAAAGGTACGGGGACAACTGGATATAGAATAAAAAGCATCTGCATCTCCTATATGACATCAACTGCAGATGAACTGAGAAATATTATCTTCAAGACCTTAGGATCAATAATTTTTTAAATAATAAGAATATCAAACCTAACATCTTTTAAAAAGATTTATTAAAATAATATTAAAAAATTGTATTTATCAAAGTAATCTTTATGGTACAAAATTCCATGCTATATTTGTAGTCGATATAAAACTCATGTCTAGCACAAAAAAAAGGGTTTTCCTACTTGACATTTTAAAATAGGTAAATAAATGAACATTCACTTTCCAAGTGTGGTTTTCTAAATGGCTAATAAACATATTCAGTGAGCTTAGCCTCATAAGTCATTAAAGACATGTAAATTAAAATTACAAAGTGACAATTCTACACTCTCACCAGAAAGCTTAAAATACAAAGACTGAGGTCTTTAAATTTTGGTAAAGCTGCAGCACTGGATCTTGTACAATACACAAAATGTAAGTGAACACAACCCATTCATAAAATCTTACCAATAGGCAAGAACTAAAAACTTTGTTGTCAAAGAAGGTAAACCATGACTGTGTGGTTTCTGAAACATAATCAATGTCAGAATACTGTCAATTGTAATTTACAATTGATTCAATTTGAAACATCTTTCTGCAGGAAAGATATTCTATGTTTATAAAAACTGTAGAAAAGTGTAACTAGACAATGAATCCTAGTAAAAATCAGAAAGTGAATACTGATAACTATAATCCCCTCATCTGATATTTTTTATTTTTACCACTGAATACTATTAAACAAGCATAATCTGAGGTCTATAATAGGAATCACTGGCCAGCAGAGAAAACATCAGAAAAACAGGTTAGTGGCTCTTTAAATCAAGGCCATTGAAGGCATGATTTAAGAGATTAGTCAAACTGGTTTTTGGCAGTTCCCACATTATCACGACCAAGGTTGAGCTTGTTTCCATGTCTGTCTGAACGTTTCAGAGGATCCCAGCCTTTACCCAGGCCTCAAAGAATTCCCACAAAGATCCAAGGAATGCAAGCTTCCAACTGAAAAACAAATCACAGAAATTTCTGCATGGGGAGGTTTGTCTTTCAGAAACTGGTACAGCATTCACTGGTCAGAGAGAAAGACAGACAGATCCATGATCCAATGTTAGAAATGACTGACCATCTGTGCTTGTGGAGTCTCTGTCAAATGGTCACTAGCTTGGGGAACCAGAGTTCTCAGGATCTCTGAAGCTAGGTAAACTTTTAGCATTGCTACCAAGATTCATGAAATATAGAATTGCCAAACATGAAAGGGCCTTCAATTCTTGGTTACCAAAACATTGCAAATGTTGAATCAAACTGTGATATACCTACCTCCAATTCATGTCTTTACTCTATGCACAAAGGCTGGCAGATCATTGGCCATAGAATCAATATATAGAATCATTTGACTATTTTTTAAAAAGAATTTATAATGCTCTGATGTTGTCTTCCTTCCTTCCTTCCTTCCTTCCTTCCTTCCTTCCTTCCTTCCTTCCTTCCTTCCTTCCTTCCTTCCATTCTTCTCTTTTCCTCCCGCTTCCTCCCCCTCCCTTTCTTAAAATAGTTTATCTAATCCATATATACCTATACTATGAGATGAGGCATTACCATAATAGTATCTATGTAGCTTTCAAAGACACAGTCTTGTCTTATCGATGGTCAGCTTTAAAATTGGTGATAATAACCCAAATGGAAACAAGCTAGTAAATTTATCACACACACAAAAAAAAAAACAAAGCAAGAAATTTATATTTTGCTACTAGAATACTGTCATTAACCATGTAAAACTTAGAAAATTATTAAAACTTTTAAAAGATTCAAGATGTGTCTATATAGCTTTGTTGAAGCTAATATGTTATATATGCATGAGCAAAATTAAAACTTCAAAAGATGAAGGTTGTGAGCTAACACTATAGCTTTGGGTTTTTTGTTTTTTTGCCAAAGGTATGTCTGAGAACTATGTTAAATTTTAGCTAGTAGTGTTTGTGTCCTGTTTAAATTCAAAGCAATTTAAAATATTGTCTTATTTTGTCTTAATAAATAACTTCAGCTATATGAAATTTGGTCCATGATTTAAATAGTAGGGAAAGATAGTACTATAAAGGCAAAGTTTTTTTTTTTTACTGTCTTTTTCTGTTTTTGTTGTTTGTAGCTGGAAGTTTTCCTGTGTCTGCCTGGTCCTGTAGCTGCTCAGACCCAAATAAGTAAACACACAGAGGCTTATATCAATTATGAATTGCATGTCCATGGCCTATGGCTCAATTTTCTTGCTTGCTATCTCTTATAACTAAACTCAGTCCATTTCTATTAATTTATATGTCACCATGTGTTCTGTGGCTTTACCTGTGTGTCATTACATGCTGTTCCCTGGATGACAGGATGGCATCTCCTCTGCCTCTCTCCCAACAACAGTTGTTTTTATTAAATGTATTCATTTGTTGGGGGCAAGCACACCTCAGTCAGAGGACAACTTATAGCAATATTTGGTTCTCTCCTGCCACTAAGTGGTCCTGGGGATCAAGTTTAAGTTGTCATACTTAGCAAAAAACACCTTTACCTGCTGAGTCGCCATACCCAGCCATGCTTATCTGAGATAGACTATATTTACATATATTTAAATATCTGTAATATACATATATTCTACACATAATGACAATTAATTAGATTAGTTTACAGGCTGTGTTCTGGGTAGTCCAACAATGGCTGTCTCATACTAGACAATCAATAAATACATACATACATACATAAATAAATAAATAAATAAATAAATAACCTTAGTAGTTGTTTACCAGGAGGCTGAATGTTTCAGCAGTTCCCATCTGTTCTGGGAGCTGCTAGCTTCAGTCTGTGTTGGCAGGCAGAAGAAGCTGGTTCTAATAGTGATGAAGAAATGCAGAAATGGTAGCCGCAAGTCACAAGTTAGAGGAACTTGCCAACAGAGTTAGGGCAAACAACCAGAAAGCAAAGCCTTCTTCTTCCAAGTCCATTCATCTGGGCTGCCACCAGAAGGTGAAGCCCGTGTTTAGGGTGGATCTTCCCACTTCAAATAACCTGGTCAAGAAAAATCCCTCATAGGAGTACTTAGAAACTTGCCTTTTCATTGAGTCCAGATCCAGTCAACTTGATTACCAAGATTTCCCATCACTCAGAGTCTCACTTTTCAGTCCAGGCTGTCCTAGAACTCAGGGCAATCTGCCCTGTGCAGCCTCAACAGTGCTACGATAATAGGCGTGAGCTACCACACCCAGTAGTTTTTCTACTGTGTAAAAGAAAAAAATGTGGAAACAGTCCCTATTGATTGCTACCTTGTTGTTTCAAAACACCACAAATACTCACTATTGCTACATAATTTTGGCCTGAATATGAAAAAAAAAAATGAAAGTCCTTGAAAATTCCAAAGTCATGCCCTGTAATGCTCCAAGACAGCATTCCATGTCCAAATCAATGTCCAGCTGTCATCTGTTATGTCTGACTTCCTTTCTCAGAACAACAGTCGCTTACATTGAACACCTAATAACGGATAAATACAATTACGTGAGTTGATTGTGTGGTTTTCCTTCTTCTAATGTCATTAACGACATGGAAATAGTCCGTTGTAATGAACTAAAACAAACCGTCTTAATGTTGTTGGTTGTTTTTTTTTTTTTTTCTAAAATGAAGCTAAAGCTATCTGCTTTTATTAGATTTTCATGAGATATTTAGTCAGACAACATTTTCAGTCCATTTCTGGATTGTTGTTAATTCCAGATTTGCTTGTGTGGAATGCAAGGTTAACAACATCCGTGAAAGCATAGGAAAACACTTTTCACTCATATGTTATTGTTAAAAGAACAAGCAGCAGATGTTACATTTCAGAGTAATCCAGCAAGCTGAATCACTCACCACTTCCTCCTTCAATAATTTATTTATCAGTGGTCTTAATATTGGAGACCAATAAATGTTGATTTATTATGAGATGGTATTGAGTGATATTTCCTGTAAAGTATGAGTGGAATTTCCTTGTTATGTTGCATTATTATTATTATTATTATGATGATGATGATGATGATGCTCATTATTATAGTGTGGAGTTTTCTGTACTTTTCCCTCTGGGAATGGAGTTGGTATTTTCATTCTGATAGATTAACATTTATATTTTTTCAAGGTTCATCATTTATTTAATTTTTCAAAATACATTTTAATTGGAACAGAAATTAAGTAGCGACTAAGGGAAAAAACATCGTATCAAGATGAAGAGACCATGGTGTTCTGCTGTTTATTTGGCTACCACTTATTTTCTGATCCAGTTGGAGGCTGTGGAGAGTAAGCTGTGGTAGACTCATTAAGGAGGATTAGAGCAATCCAACTTGGAAAATGGGATATAGCTTCCTTGCCAGCTGGAGATGAAAGATGCTTCTAGTTCTTACGGCAATCAAAGTTCAGAAACAGCAAACCAAACCAAAAATGGAGATCTGGTAGACTACTTTACCCCTGGAAACTAGTAGACAAAGTTTCCTTTTACTGGAGAGCTGCATTTTCTTGATAGTTTAGCAAATGATTTTCCCTTAACAAAGGTTAACACATCGCTGACTTTGCCCAGTTGAAGCTCAGTCCAGCTGATGTCCATCCATATTTCTACACCCGCTTGGGCTATTTGTTAGTAAGATCTTCCAGTCACATGAGGGTGGTAAACATTCTATAAAAATGCCCCCTCCATCTCATTCTTACACAACATATCCCGGGCTTTTACACTGCTCACAGCATTTGCTTTTTATGGGCTAACACATATTTTATACCAGTAGTTACCTTTTTTTCCTTTTTAGTATTGTTGAATTTTGCTCCCTTTTCTATCATTTTACATTGAGTTCATGATTTCTGCTTTTAAAGAGCTGTTTATTCATTTTCATTTTATGTGTATGCGTGATCATCTTGTATGTATGTGTTCTTTGTGCTTGCCTGGTGTCTGTGAGGGTCAGAAGAGGGCATCAGATATCCTAGAAGGTAGGGCAGGGAGTTGTGAACCACCATGTGGGTGCTGGGACACAAACCAGGCTCTTCTGTAAGAGTATCAAGTGCTCTAAACCACTGAGTCATCTCTCCAGCCCCTTCTTTCTGTTTATTTGAATTGTTTGCTCCAGCATATTTTCAACACTATATATTCCTTGAATAAGGAAATAACATTCAAATTATGGGATTCAATAATTGTATATGACAATTGCATAATATGACAATCATATAATACTATATATGCCTTAACCAATTAGTATGTGAATCACTTCTGCATGCTTTTTGTGAGGAGAGATTCATAGATAAATCCCACTGTATCTACTACTATAACATTTGATCATTTTTTTATAACTAGATAATATTAGCATGTTTGGATAAAGTCAACTTTTCTCTGGAATTTTTTAGATTGTCACTATTTAGGATGTACATATAAAATTCAAAGGATAACTGAAAAGGTTTATAAAGTTAGCATTGATAAAACAGAGGTTGGCACATAGCAAGTACTAAACATGAGTATGTTAAATAAAATAGATCAATGATTGCTTTCTGTGATTTCAATACATAATCAAATCAACCTTTTGATCTTTATTTATAAATAATTTTCATTATAATCATGAATAATAGAAAAAATAGTATTTAACACATAGTAGGCATTCCATTATAAAAAAGGTGAGTAATTTTAATCTATTTTTAATAAATGTATATGCAACTGAAATTATTTTTGTGTTGAATCTAAATTAAACTTCCTCATTACATGGAAATTTCAGTTCATTATAGATCACAGTGCAACATGAATCTTAAAACATCTTATTAATAAAAACAAAGCCAGAGCCAGGTATTGGGGTGAATGCTGAAAGATTAGAGAAGCAGAACAAGCCACAGCTAACCCCACCTCATCAACTTCTGAGCTGATCTTGTTTCCTCAGACTGGAAGCCTCTGAGTCCTCATCTGAATGGATCTTAGCTGAACTGCTGCTAAAAGATAAAAGCTTAAAAATCTCTAGTTCCTAGTCCTCATGCCTTATATACCTTTCTGCTTCCTGCCACCACATCCTGGGATTAAAGGCATGTGTCTTTCCCAAGCAAAGACATGAGCTCTCGAGTCCTGGGATTAAAGGTGTGTGCCACCACACCTGGCTCTGTTCCTAGTGTGACCTGAACTCACAGAGATCCACATGGATCTCTGCCTCCCAAGTGATAGGATTAAAGGTGTGTGCCACCATTTTCTGGCCTCTATGTCTATCTAGTGGCTGTTCTGTTCTCTGACCCCCATATAAATTTATTAGGGTGTACAATATATTGGGAAACACACTATTGCCACAACCACAGTGTTGTTTAATAAATATTTACAGGACGTCACCTTATTATTATCACCTTATATTATCATAGATAATTTATAGTATCTTTTGATGTCTTCTGACCATCCAACATTATCTGCATACCTCTTTGCACTTTCACTTTCAAGCCATTTTACTTCACTGGAGTAATTCATTGCTAATCCTTATTAAGCCACAGTTATTCCATGCTCCTTTTTAAATTCTTCTTTATAGCTATAATGTTCATCAAGCAGAAGAGTTGATCAGGAAAGAGAGAATCATGTTTAACTGCTAATCTGTATGTGCAGAATTTATGTTGTAAGGCCCTTTGATAATTTTTATTTTAATGAAATATAAAACAAAGAACTTCATTGGATGTTCTTATAAGCAAATTTAACTTATCTAGTGTAGGTAAAATAAATAAGCAACACAAGGTTGTTAATTATCAACGTTTATTTCTTTTTGGGTGTGTTACACATTCACAGATGTACCAGACAATAAACAACACACAACCACTGAAACCTTCCACTGACAGCCTTCTGCCTGAACTAGGTGGGCATAATGCCATCAACATGATACCACTAGATAGCTTCACTCCCTAAAATAAAAGCAGTAATCTTAAAAGACCTAGAATAGCTTTAATTTAATAAAGTAAGTGTGTACTGGAAATAAATGAGTAGTTTAAATGTGGCCAAATATTTGCCTTAAAGTGCCAAAATTGAATGAGGAAAAATTCAACTTCAAAGTCAAATTAGTAGATCCTAGATTAAAGAAGGAATGTGGGCTCAGATGTATATCTTTGAGAAGGAATGACAATTCTCTGGAAGGAGAATCAGAAGACTGACAACTATGTGTTGTGTGGTTTGGAAGTTCAATGAGGAGGGGAGAGATCAGAGCTGGAGTATAATTGAAGTGAAACATCAGAAAAACACTTCTGAAGTTTCTATCTTGAAAGACACCTACCACTGAACTAAGAACACACCATTAATTGTTAAGTGTGGATCAACTAAAGTTTTCTCCATCCCAAATGCATCACTTTCATGCTTTTGTGAAGATTATTTTGTTTCCTTTGTCTTCATTTTTTTTTTTTGAGACCAGGTTTCTCTGTGTAGTTTTGGTGCCTATCCTGGATCTCACTCTGTAGACCAGGCTGGCCTCAAACTCACAGATATCCACCTGGCTCTTCCTCCTGAGTGCAGGGATTAAAGGTGTGCACCACCACCACCTGGCTCCTTTGTCTTCATTTTTGATCATCATACTGTGCCAATAGATTGCTCTCCTCTAAAAGTGTATCCACAGTGTTCTCTGACTTACGCTTATTGCTATGTGCATGAAGGATGAAGTGCTGCTGGAATATTATAAGTCTTTCAATAAAGGCCATGAGAACAATGTGGAAGTTTCTACATGATGTCCACTTTTAGGCAGGACAAATTTTAGGTCAAAGGTTTTGTGGATAAGTTGGTGTTACTTTACCAACTTACAATACCTCTATTGCTGTAGAATAATGTCCTTGGACACTGGTTTAATAAAACGCTGATTGGTCAGTAGCCAGGCAAGAAAATATAGGCAGACTGGGCAGACCAGGAGAATTCTGGGAAAAGGAAGGGCAGATTCAGGAATTCCCAGCCAGACACAGAGGAAGCAAGATGACAGGGCAGAACTGAGAAAAGGTACCAAGACACATGGCTAAACATAAATAAGAATTATGGGTTAATTATTAAAGTGTAAGAGCTAGTCAGTAACAAGCCTGAGCTAATGGCTGAGCAGTTATAATTAATATAAGCC